AAAGGCTTTGGCTGCTGTGCTGTCTGGGAAAACCCGGACGTATGGAACCCTATTGAAATGACCCCCGGGTCCTTCGCAGAGGACAGCCCACCAGCAGCCCCTCTCTTTTCAAGCAGGGTTCTAGCTCAAGCGGGGGTGTTGTTTGCTACCATGGCACCGGGGGACGGCAGGTCTGGCAGGCAGATGGGTGCCGAAACATCTACATGCCCCCATGCTCTCGCAGTGCAAAGCACCACCCAGCCCTGTCACTACGGACAGTAAACACAACACATGGGAGGCATTGGCCAACAAACTTCCTCTGCATTTCGTGGTCTTCACACAGCCTTGAGCAGCGCACCATACCACATCTGGTCCACACTCACCCCTGCCCCTGGCACCAGTCCCTGCTACACTTCCTCCAGCAATCTAACTCCGCTCCTCCGACCCACTCAGCCTGCGAACTCCAGTTTTCTTCATCTGATGGCCTCAGTGCTATCCAGGATCACTCCGGTTATGCCACAGATCCGGGCCATTACCTCTCTCTTAGTCGTGTGCGAAGTAGAGCTAACATACAGCAATTGCATTTCATGTTGAAGGGCTAGTCTCCTGCTGTCCCATGTCTTTAGCTTCCATGTCTCACATGCATCTAGCAAGATGCTGAAGACCAGAGACAGCAGCAATTTCATTGGACACTGCCCGGTAACAACTTTGCTTTTCCAAAGCGGCCGAGTGTCACTAGAGCCGCAGTTCCAAGTCCGATTCTATGTCAGATCTCTACGTCCCTTGGGGTCACGCTACCCAGGTATCTGATGTGCTCTGCGTACTCTGGTGCCGCCTCAGATTTGGTGTGAAGATCTTCTCCTTTTCAACAGACCCAGCTGTCACCATTGTCGTTGGGCAACATCTTTACACCAAACGTCTCTGCTTGCACAACTCTTCTGAGCAATTATTGCACCTCTTCATGCAACGACTCCGTTAGGTCAATATCCGCAGCAAAGCACAGGGGACTCATTCAAGACACTGACCAAGCCATTAGGGGTTTTGTTATTTCTGGCAGGACCCAGATGCCTCCGTGAGAACCGAGCCCGCAGGCAAAGGTGGAGGCTCTGGCTACATCTACACGGCCAGCGGAAACCCGCAGCAGCAAGTCTCAGAGCCCGGGCCGACAGACTCGGGGTCATGGGGCTTGGCTCCGGCTCTAAGAACAGCCAAGTAGGCATGTGGGCTTGAGCTGGAGCTCAGGCTGTGAGGCCGGGGAGCGGGGTGGGTTTCACAGCCCAACTCCAGCCTGAGCCGACCGTTCTCTCGGCTAGGTTTAGTGCGAGAGCGCAAGGGCGAGTCTAACAGGCCCGGCTCGGAGACTGGCTGCTGCAGGTTTCTGCTTGGCAGGTAGACGTACCCTCAGCCCCTGCACCACATAGCTGGCAGCCTATGATGAGCAGAGCTGGGGATAGACCCCAGGATGTGGAGCTAAAGGGGGGGGAGAGAGAGAGAGAGAGAGAGATGGAAGGCACCCCCTCCGCAGCACGGCGCTCCCCGCCGAGCCCCCTGCCCGCTCCCTGCAGCACAGTGCCCCGTGCTGAGCCCCTCTCTGCCCTGCAGCACAGCGCCCCCTGCCTGCTCCCTGCAGCACAGCACCCCCGCTGAGCCCCTCTCTGCCCTGCAGCACAGCGCCCCCTGCCGAGCCCCCTGCCTGCT